TAAAGAGCCACTTCTCGTTGTGAAAATGGTAATAAACAAAGGAAACTGGCGACGAAATAACGTAACAAATGAATAAATCACTAGAAAGGTTTGCAAGACCAAAGAATAAGGACTTTAGAATGCATCTTGTGTTTTCTTTCTCATCAATGCCCCAGCATCATTTACTTTGTTGGCAGAGGGCAGCTGAGACACACACACACACACACACTTTCGAACGAGGGATGGAGCATCAAAGGAGAGCAAATGAGTCAGATTAAGCTATCCCCAGAATGAGGACAGCTTGGACTTGTGCCTTTTCCACTGGCCTGGCTTTGGCTTGCGAATCCCACTGGCTCGGCGTCCATGTCGGAGACAAAGCAGGTGTGGCCGGATTCGCGAACGGTCTTGAGTCGATTTCCCGCCCCACGAACCTTCGGGGATGGTACCCACTTGCGGGATAACGACCACTTGGGTGTGGGCTCGCAAGCCCGGGGGCGGGCGCCGGTTGTGACTCCAGCTGCATGTGGACCGAGGGAGGATAGGCGAGTCGGTCTTTTTTGACCATTTCGTCCGTTCTCGGCGCCAAAACATGTTGTCCAGCCGGCCCGACGGTCTTGACTGCGGGCCGCAAGGTCTCACGTCCGATATTCTATGAGCACATCTGCTTTGTTGGCCGATCTGACGAGCGAGCAAGCCTGGGATGCTCGTTCGTCATGACCCAATTGAGAATATCCACACTTGGTGGCTCTTGTGGCGGCACAATAATGGCGAATTGAGGGGCAAAAGTGTCCATCTGAAAATTGTCTAATCACAGAAGTTGTCAGTATGTACCAATTTAGAATAGCGTGACAGCAGTTCCATCCGAAATTAATGAAAAAGAAGACTTCATACATCTCATCGGAGCTTGACTGCATTTCTGGTGGGATTAGAACCGTGAAAGTGCGGTTTCAGAGGAAAATAATTCATATTGCCTCAATTAAAAAGACTCTTAAACAGATTCACGACCAGCTTGACTTTTAAGAATACCCAAATTGGGCTCAACTAAATGCTTCTGTATTTGAGTAGAGAAATATGAAATGTATTCACC